CAGTGGCAAATCTCCCTCAGGGGTATTCCCGATGGATGTACACATACTTCTGCACTCACACTGCTGATGCTTCCCCTCCAGGCCAGGCACAAGCTGCTGATCTGCAGGCAGGGAGACAGGGCTTCAGTGGGTTTTCTTGAGCACTAGCTGCCTCCGCCCCACAGAAGCTGTGGCCGAGCTTAGATCAGCAGCATCAGGGAGATGCTTTTTCCACACCTAAACGTGAAGTTTAACGTCTGGCACCAGTTTCCACTGCCACAAGAGCCGGAAGGTTGCTGGGGTAGCAGCGAGTGTGTGCTGTGGCTCCTTCCCCTGGAGCTGAGCTGTGCAGGGCCCCAGGAGGGCTGCATGGCTGGGGATGTGTGCTTGGGGACCTGCAGGAGTGCATCACAAGCAGCTGGGGGCTGCCTGAAGATTTAGGCCAAAACACATATTGCCAGCTCTCATGTGCTGCCAGACACCGTCATGATCTGAGTGTCTGTAGGGAGCTGAAGCATGACAGCATCCTCCAGCACGAAGCACAACCATCCAACGCTCCAGCTCTGTTCCTCCCAGGGGTTACAGTGAAGGGAGGCGGTTCTCAGCCTGGCTTCCTGCAGCCCAGTCACACATGCCAGCCCCAGACTGATCCAAGACAACTCCTTATCCACCCCAAGCCCATGACAACCAAGGCCTGTGAGATACATCATACATGACAATGTACAAATAAATGCCCCAAGATGCATCAGAACAGGACATAGGCTGCTTATGCCTGGCTTTTGCCCCAAGAAAGGCAGATCTCATTTCCCCGCACCACGGCACCACACCAGCTCTGAACAGAGGCAGCTCTGGAGCACACGTGTGCCAGGTAAGCACCACAACCCACACAGCACCCTTTGAGCAAACAGGCAGTAATCAGCCCAGCCACGCACAGCACAAAGGTGAAGGGTAAGAGGCACGCATTTCCCCAGGCTGTGCTGTGCCAAGCACTGCAGTGCCAGTGGACACCAACATTAGGGGATTACCAATGCCCTGGCCAGGCTGTGGGAAGGTGCAAGGTGGAGCTGCCCTGTGCAGCCACATCGGCCCCAAGCTCCCAGGCAGGACACGGGTGCAGCCAGATGTTCTAGGGACAAGGACAGAGCATGTCAGTAGAACACGCTGAGCCTCTGCCCAGGGTGTGCAGGAGCTGGCACATCCCAGGCACTCCCAGTTTCATACTGGGAATGAGCGTTTCTCTAACCAGCGAGTGCAGATCACCTGTGCCCATAAAGCAGTGGAGATAAGCTGCTGTGTCCAGCAGGAGCAGAGGGAAAAGGCTCACAGGGAGGGTAGCCAAACCCGCTCTCGCCCTGGCCCAGCTCTGAGCTGGGGTTTGCAACCAGCAGCAGCGAGTTGGGATTGAGGCAACAAATGCAAATATGAGGCAGTAGGAATTGCTCTATTTCCCACTTTCCTGAGTGAGGGGATCCATTTCCCTTTTTTTTTTTTCCTCAGAGAAATAGCTCAGTCCCCCAAAACAACAAAGTAACTCCAACCACAGCTTCCCTTCTGAGCTAAATAATCAGAGAAGTAAGGTCCTTTCCAACCCTAACCATTCTATAATTCTAAGTAGAGAGCAGCTCAGAGCCCCAGCCCTTACTGGAACCTGGTTTTGGGTGGTAGAAAGCTGCGGGCCCTGTACAGCCCCTTGCGCCACAGCAAGGGTGGGGGCTGCCTCTGCCCCAGGGTAATGCTCATGGTCCTGAAGATGAAGTGTACAGTGAAGCAGCTTGGGGCTCGGTGCCTTTGGGACATCCTGTTGCAGACTCAGATCCCTGCCGCAAGGCACAGCTCACGTGGGCCACAGGGGATCAGGACCATGAGCTGGAGAACAGCTTCCTGCCCCAGGGCAGTGCCCCACCACTCCCCTGGCCACCCCCAGCCTGGCTCTTTGCCCAAAGCGTGGTGTGGGGTGACCATGATAGGAGCTCTCAGCTACTTGCCTCACCAAACCCTGGGTTGCTGCTTGTCTTCAGCTCATCATATTCTCACCTGTGCCCCACAAAGAAAAGAGCAGCAGTTGTGTCTGGTGTAATCGGTATTTTGTTTCACTGAGGTAAGCTGTGGGTGCTATTGTGGGTGCTATTGTGGCTGAGGGAGGAAGTGTGCTTGGGCCTTGTACATAGGAAAATGCAGGTATACAGGAAGAGCAAAAGGAAAAAAAACCCTTCGAAAAATGAGAGGAAAAAAGAAAAATCACAAGTCATGAAGAACCAAGATGGTTTTTCACATTGGATTTGGCCTTGTAAAGGCACATCATCTGCTAGTGCTACAGCAGCAAAAATATCAGCCAACAAAGAGTTTACTGATTCCCTAATTACAGATAGCAGAAGCTGAACTGCAGCAGGAAGCAGAGACCAGACACTACACCAGGCATTACAGGAATAGCCGATCTGAAGAGCACTACATCCCCTTCAAGAGATCCAGTTTTATAACATTTCACTGAAAATAAATTACATTCCCAGGAAACACGTGAAGGCCCTTCAGTCTGGCAAAACAGAGACTGGGATTTTAGTAGGGCTGTCTGGGTTAATTCACTTGAGGGTGAACACAAAACCAACACCAGCCCACAGGATATTTAAGGCAATCTGCTCAGAAACATTAATTGCACAACATGGAACTAATCATTCACAGATACCACATTCCCCTCTCTGTTACTCCAGCTATATCTTGGCATAAGCATGACCAGGTTCAAATGCTGTGAAAGATGCATGCCCCATCCTACTCCTGACCCATATGTACACCCCATCCACAGTCCTCAAACACTACCCAGCCTTTACATACATCCCCTGTCCAGAAGAGAGAGCTCTCACATCCAGAGAAGAGACAGGAATCATTGAACAAGATGGTAGAGATCAGGCACTGGGTTTGAGACACACACTGATCACAGCCTGCTTCCGTACATTCAGTTTCTGTGTTCCCGTGATTGTTCTTCTCTAATCCCTCCTTTTCTCTAACCCTCATCGCTTCCCAAAATAACCCTCCTCTAATTACTGTTTCCCCTTGGGCCCAGTCTTGTCACATCTGCAGCAGAATTCGGTGCTTCTGATACCTCTTACTGGGTCACCTCCACACTCCAGCGGTCCCTGTGCTCCTCCTCAGTCATCTGTGAAGCTCAAACATTCCCCTGGGTGCTCTCTGTAGCAGTACCAACTATGTCCAGCCATCTCTCATGTCACATCTACTCCATTCTCCTGCTCTGTCTGGCGACTCAAACTGCAGGCCAGGGCCTGACCATCTGCCTGTGTGCCCCAACAGGGAGGTCGTACATTTAATGGAGATAAGGAGAACGTGTGATCATTATGAAATAAATAATTAGATTTTAAAATTACATAAGAAATTCATTATTATTAGCCAGTTCAGTCCTTAAAGAACATCTCTGAAAGCATGGTAACACTAGTAAATGGGTTCCCTGTACATTCACGAATACCTAAGAGTAATTTTTTTGTTTAAAGAAATTATTTCTGACTGAAAAGAAAAAATTGTTAATTCCTTGCAATGCCATGTTGAGCAATTGATTTTTACAAGGTGCACTATAAAAATCGAGGCCCTTAGTAGGGCTTCTCACAGTCAGGGACATTTTTGGAAGTGGCAGTGAAACCACACAGGAAGAATCTCTCCACCAAGAAAATACGGCATCAAACACCCCAGACCTTACAGAAGGCTGCAGGCACTGCTCACAGAGCTGCAGAGTATTTTCCATGGAAGTTTCCTCATTAAAACATCACCTGATTATAGGAAGTGTCAAGACTTCCAAGTGTTACACAGGCTGCCCTGTGCTCAGGCGTGGTGCAGTAAGTGTACACATCTGGCTACGCCTGCTTCCTGCTAAAAGGCACTCAGTGCTTCTCTGGGGTGGATCACACCACACAAGTGTTCAACCACTCAGCTCTGAGTGCAAGCTATGTGTGGTTAAAACTGCTCTTTTTTCTTTTTTTTTTGCTAATTATAATAATTACCCAGAAGTTTCAAAGAATGGGAGGAAACCCCCCAAAAAAACCCCCAGTGTGACTGTCAGAAGTGCCACTTCTGTTCTTCAGAATGACACTGTCACCCATGCTGGTGAATGAAGCAGGGTGGTCCCAGCCCCCATGTTTTGATCATCAACATCATCAAATCTTTGGAGACACACACACAGCAGCAGTAAAAACAAATTTGAAAAAGCTGAAATCAACAGAAAGCAAAAACCCCAAAGGCTGGTTACAGTGAAGCTATCAACATGCAAAACAGTAATCCTTCTGAGGAAGGTGTTGTGTGAGCCTTTCTCAAGAACACCAAAAGCTGGAAGTCAAAACATAACTCCCGCACACAGTAAGGGAGCTGCAAAGCCCACAAAAGCAGGCAATCATCAGAGCTACAAAATGGAAGGTCTGAATGAACAACAAGGAAATGAACTTGAGAGAAGTGGTGTCCTTTCCCTAACAAGCCCATGAGGAAAAATAAACCAAACCAAACTGAAACCCAATTCTTCAGCACAGCCTCAGTGAAGACATGACAAGCAGCATCCCATCCCTTTTGAGAAAAACTGGCTGATGAGAAGCAAGGCCACGTGGGGCTTGAAAGATCACCCAAGACATACAAAAAGATCACAAAATTTCACCTAATGTGAATAAATATAAACAGACATTTAGTTTGTTTACATAGTACAGAGTACATTTTAGAAAAAAAAAACCCTTTCTATTTTGCCATCCTGTTAGCAAAACTAAAGATCATTTTATGACACAGGCAGGGTATGGCTGATGTTTCCAAGTGACTTGATGCCAAGTTCTGCCCTGGATAACGTCATCCGGAAGCTTTAGAAAAGGGCTGCAAGGTCCTTCCGAGCACCTGTGACATCACACAAGGGGCAAGCGCCCCAGTGCCACCCAACCACAGCAGCAGCACCCTGGGCAGCCACTATGGTGCATGCACACACCATCAGCCACCACCCATGATGCACACCAGCACCACTTCATGCAGTTCCCCCCAGCTCTTCCACCATGGATGATGTTGCAGTGCTTGAAAAGAAAGGCTATAGCCTCAGCAACACACTAGGACAAGGCTCTTACAGCAAGGTGAAAAGTGCCTACTGTGACCGGCTGAAGTGCAAAGTGGCTGTCAAGATCATCGACAAGATGAAAATTCCTAGGGACTTTTGGGAAAGGTTTCTCCCCAGGGAAATAGAGGCTTTGAGACGCTTACATCATCCCTCAATCATCAAAACCTATGAGATTTTCGAGACATCAGTTGGGAAAGTGTACATCGTGATGGAGCTGGGGGAAAATGGAGACCTCCTGGACTACATCAAGAGTACAGGAGCTATGAGAGAGGACATTGCTCGCATAAAGTTTCAGCAGCTGGCTTCTGCCATCAAGCATTGCCACAACTTGAACTTCGCTCACAGGGACCTGAAATGTGAGAACATCCTTCTTGATGATGGCCTCAATGTCAAGCTGACAGACTTTGGCTTTTCTAAACCGTTATCTCAGGATAAAAACGGGAAAACTATTCTCAGCAATACCTTCTGTGGGTCTGCTGCGTATGCAGCTCCTGAAGTGCTACAGGGCATTCCTTGTGATCCCAGGATTTCTGACATATGGAGTCTGGGCGTTGTCCTGTATATAATGGTCTACGCTTTAATGCCATTTGATGACTCCAATATCAAGAAAATGATTTCTTTTCAGAAACAACACAGGATTCCCTTCCCCAGCACAAAACACCTGACTGTGGAGTGCAAGGATCTCATTAACCGCTTGCTCCAGCCCGATGTGTCTCAGCGGTTGCGCATAGATGAAGTTTTGAAACACTCATGGTTGCAGACTCCAAATTCCGTCGATTCCCCTCTGTCAGCTATAGAAGAGGGTGAGTGTTCCCAAAACCCGCGTGAAGGAAAGCCAAAGCAAAAGCATCAAGCCAAATGCCAGTTGGCAAAAGGGGAAAGAGAGGAGAAGTAACTGGGATCCTCCTAAGGATGGCTGGTTTTAACAATATCATGAAGTCGGTCTAACTTGTGAACTGCTGATTTTCAACTTTAGCTTCTGCTTCAGCGGAAGTCCTCATCTCTTGCTTTACAAAGAATAGCAACAGAAGACACGGTACATCTTCTGAGGTGAATAAACAGCTTAATACTATTGTTCTCAAAAGACCCATCTCTGATAAGGTTTGCAGGGAAGTTACTGTCAAAACACACTGGACAGTTTCTTTTAGTGCTGCTGGCATTTAACAGGTCTTACTCACCTTTCTCAAGTTCCTGACTACACAGGCTGCAGAATTCACATGTGCATCAACCACACTGTGGATTCAGCATGAGGGCAGGTTATTGGGAATTGTGAACTGACGGCTGAATCTGTATGCACACTGTGTTCATAAAGTACCACTTTCCTTGGCAGGCTCACACTACATTTAAGAGCAACTCAAGTTAAAGAGAAGCCCTCTAAAATTCTAAGTCATGTCTTCATATATACATGATTACATCCCCTCTTCTGCAAAATACAAAACCAAAGACATTTGGCAAGCTGGAAGAAAGTCCAGTTCAATCTTTTAAGAAGTCTTACCACATTTTATAAATAGACATATCTGTACAGTAATGTATTTAAATGCATGGGCATCTTAAAAAGAGAAACCTATCTTTAAAAATTATCACCCTTTTCTGAGAGTCCAGAATCTTCTCTGCCATTGCAGGAAGCATTCTTTTTCTACCACAGCCCTGTGCATCCCACCCATGCAGTTCAAAGGGAAGTTATACCACAGCAAGACATACTCTGCTTCCAAAAAGCACATTACAGGCTATTTAGTCTAGACTAGCACTGGTCCCAGGTTTTCCAACCACTGGCTTCCATTCTGGCAGCTTTATCTAGACACCCCTTACACTGATGGCTCACAACATCTCATTTGCAGACAGTTGAGTACAGCCAGTTCACTATCACCTTACTGGTGACCGGAATATTCAAATGAAATCAGATGCCTTTCTTCTTTTAGGAAGCTGTAGTAAATTGTCTGTGATTGATGTAGTATCCTGAGATACCGGCGTCCGAGATACTGTCCTAGATTGTGGGGTGCTTGTGGGTGTATGAGGCCCACTTGCTGGGGTCTTGTAACCAGGTGTTCCGGTGTGGGCTGGAGAAGGAGTATAGCTGGCTCGCAGGGCTTTGTCAGTGTATTTACTTGCAGTCCTGTTTACTAGCCTCTGCAAAGCTGGTGACATTGCTGGGCTTAGTCCTTTTGGAGTGAGGCTGGAACAGAATAAATAGGTTTAAAAGATTTTACAGTAAAAATCTGCCACTTATGTGGAAGAGCATCAATGCTTCCACAGATGAGCTTAGTACCTACTCTCCCAACAGACTAGACCCGCTGGCTGCAGAAGTCATTCTGCCTGCAGATAAATGCAACCTGTCTCTCTAGAGACAAGTGACAGAGAAACCTCCCATATCCCTCCAAACCTGCATGGTATCGCCTGCCTTTTCCTTTGAGCCTGTTCTATCCTTCCTGTGACCCAGCCAAGCAAGCCTTATCACGTCTCCCCTTTGCCATGAGGCAAGACACTGATCCAGATGCATTGCTGGGTGGCTGTAAGGCAGAACAGTAACACTGACAAGAGGGAGTATCAAGGACAGCCACCAGCCACCTTCCCTCAGGAATTAAGTTTTCTGATTTCTAAAAACTTGCAGTTTGACTGTACTTACTGCTGCTTCCAGTAATCTGATCATTCCTCTCTTTCTACATATGTTGATTTAAATCTCATCAGCAGATACCCCTCCTCAGTTCTGCTGTCAGAACAGATCTCACCTGGCCAAGTTTTCTGTCACTTTTCGAAGTGCCTCCAGCTTCTTTGCTCGGTTTTTAGCTGCCACTTCATTGGCCATCTTGAGTCCCAACCTCTCACGGCGCCCAGGCTCCAGGATCTACAAATGCATTACACAGTTCAGTTGCCAAGAGAGTCATATGACTCTCACATGTCATATGACTTGTATAAGCACCTTCACAGTTGGATTCCAGTCTACAAGGATCTAAACTGGGGAGAAGTGGTGTCAGCCCACAACCCTCCACTACTATATAAAAGCCAGACAGGACACAGAGGGACCTTCAGCCTGCCTAAGCAAGTAACAAAAATGGTAAAACCAGTTCAGTCAAGGAAGCAGCCATTACCTCTGGCATTTCCTCCTGCTGTCTCTCCTAGACAAACAATGTCACCTGTGCCTTGCCTGGCCTGGCCTGGCCTGTAGCCAGCCAGCTCTCAGGCAAACACAGACATTGCTAAACAGCAGAAGAACCAGTAAAGGGCTTCTGAGTTTGGCAAAGCAGACGCACATACAGCAAATTACACCTTTCTTAAACCAAGACTCTCAGCTCATACACAATGACAGCAGAGGGAGACAGGTGGCATGTACAGACAGGTACTATTAGCAAAGCCAGAGCGCCTTTTATATTCTCAAGTGATACACCTGCCTCAGACTGTGACAGCCAAAAGATCAAGACAGAGGGAAATCCTACAGTTTCTACCCATTCGTACACTGAAATTGGATAAATTGGGTATCTCTTCAGCTTCCTCTGAAAGCCCCTACATCTGTGCTTTGTATCATCAAATATGAAGTCTCACTCTCCTGACAACAGTGTGTGTTCCACTTCAGGTACCTCCACCAAGTAGTTTTCATGTGGAGCCACGTCCACCTCCACCCTCCAAGCAGAACCTAAATTATTAGTCCAAGGCACTGGGAACACAGCCCAGAGATGTGTCACACTCCTACAACAATGTTAATCTATTAGTTACTTGCCTTTCCATTCTCAGTCCTTCCCCCCAAAAAGAATGACATGCTGACTGCTGACATGAAATACCTTGAAGGCTGGTCCAGGCGTTCTGTCCACATATGGTGTTTCTGACCCTTCTAAGCGCAAAGGGGTGCTTTCGATTTCACCCCATGTCATAAAAGGAGACTCATTCACACCTAAAAACAGATTTTAAGAGTCATGCTCATGCAAGACATTTGACTATTCATTCACCACAAAAAAATCCAGAGAGGCAAATTATAAAATGCAAATTCATCAACACATGAAGGAGCCCCTCCACTGCAGAGGAAATCACAGCCTATATTCAATAGCAGCCTGTGGTTCCCATTGAAAAGGCATGACGTTAAACTCACAGCATTGCCAGTGGCTGTGTCACCCTCTAGGTTACAACACCAAGCACTGTCCTTTCCATGTGTTTATGTTTCCATTTGGTGAGCTTTTGCTTAGTACCACTTTCATTTTTTCCTCTGTAGCGCTAATCTTCCCCTCTGTTATTTCATGAAAACTCCTTTAACATGAGGAACTATTTAAAAGCAGGGAAACAGGCAGAGGACTTAGGATATATGTAATAGCCAAACTTAGAACCTATTCTGCGGTTGTAGCTGTTAGACAAAGTGCAGTCACTGTTTGGTACAGGCTAGCCTCAAGTCTGATTAAGCCACTGGCTAGTGACTGGTTTGGAAAAGGCACTTCAGTGGAGAAAGGAGGTGCGCTCCAAATGCCACCTACAGGCTTTCCGGAGGAAAAGCCTCAGTGGGTTCAGCATTTAGCATAATAACAAAAGACAAGGAAACATAATGGCTAGTGAGGAACGGATGAAAATTTAGATACCACATTTCAACTGGAAGAAAAATAATGTCTGTTCTAACCAAAAGTATCCTACAGCTAATCCATGTGAACAAAAGGAGTATATAATACAGAAGTGTATTCATAGACAAGAAGAACCTAGAAAGCAGAAGACCTGGAGGAAAACAGCAGGTTAGACTGTGAAGGAAGCGATATGCCTCATTGCTATGAGTCAGGCTGAACATCACTCAGAAAACTACAGAACATGCTGACACAAATGCTTCTTGTTTTTTAAAAATGAGCACCTGAATTCACTGGAAGGTTAATGGTTATGAAGCATCTGAATCCTTTAAGCTCTAGAGAAGAATCACCCAGGGATAAAACAAGCAGCCACAGCACCCCAGTCGCCTAGGAAGGCTCACTGCCCTCTACATGATTCCTAAGTGATGGCATGGCAGCTTGCTTGAAGCCTCTTGGGTACAGCATAACTCCTCTAGTGTATGGGACTAGGATTTAAACACCGGGTTGAGTTGGCATACACAGTACACAAGAAAGTCACCAGCTCATGACACTTACATAGATAAAAAACTCATCTCCTTGTCTAAACCAACAAGGATACCTCACTGTTGAATAGAGTACCTTACATCAGAAAAAATAAGAAATCCCTCTTACCAGGGGCAGGAGAGGGGGTAGCCACAAATCCATACCCATTCACTTTTGGAGACTCTTGGGGTATCAGTTCTTTCCCATCTGGTCCCACTTTGCCCTGTTTGTACTGAAATAAAAAGAGACACTGCCACTCGTGTGGAGAAAGGTGTGAATCAGCATTACCTAGCACACATGGTTTTCCATTAGAGGAAAGAGTCTAACAAAGTATTAGAAGCACAATTATCCAACCTGAGCATTGAGGGCTGCAGCTTGTTGGAGCTGTGATTTGCTCACGGCTTGGCTAAAAGGGTCCTTCACAAAACGGGTGTTCCGATGGACAACTTCCCTGGGCTTCTTAAATACTTCATCCCCATCAGGTACACCTTGAAAAGTAAATGCCTTTTAAGAAAGGGCTCAGGTAACACTAGGCAGTGTGCTCTAAAGCTCCTGACCAATGTGACACTTGCCACACATTCCTACACAACACAGAATCCATCAGCAATTGCAGTGTGTATCACTAGCGATTTAAAACAAAATTTGTACTAAATAAAAGCTTTGCACACCTGAAATCTATAAATTAAGATCAGATTTTAGTATTTTTTTATTTTTTAAGAAAAGTCAACCAGAATTTCATTTCTGTACTTCACTCGTTTGCAGAAATTATCAATTGTACATTTACAGCCAAAGAAAACTGTGTTTATAAATTACATAGTTTTCTATAGCAACCAAAGGCCCAAAAAGCTTAAGAAGTACTCTCTGAGCAGAACCTAAGATTGAATAAAGATGACAAGAAGGTGCTCATAAATAAGACAGACCGAACTGGAAAGAGCTTTGGCTCCTGAAACCAAGTGCTTCTGTAATACAGGTAATGAACTTCTCAATGACAAACAGAACATGATCATACTTTGCAATCAAAGGCAAAAGAGCAAAGTTCAAAGAAAGAAAAAGAGAAAATAAAATTAAAAAAAGAGAGAGGGAAAAAAACCACAGACATTTGAATACAACTTTTTTTATCTGAGTTTCACAGAGGAAAAAGTGCAGTATCACCAGTAAGAGGTGCTCAGTCATCTATAGAAATGCTGTTACACTGTTAGCACTGCTTGGAGTCAACCCACTCAGAATCAATGCCCCTCCCAAGAAACCTGCAACCTCACCTGTCGGATAATACATGAGGGTGTTTCGAGCTGTGTATTCCCAGGTCTCCAGTCCGGCTTTCACATTCTCCAGAGCTTGCTGCTCTGCTGAAGGAAGTGCCAGGTTCTCACTGCGTCGCTGAAAGGGTGACAGAAAAAAAAAAAAGATTAAAAAAGGGGAAAAAAAAACCCAGTTGTGACAGACTCTTGCAACGTTTCAACCAGGCATCGACACCTTGCAGAGTTCAATCACAGGCTCAGCTCCCTGCACTAGCACACTCTGCATCTGGCATGGCATAAGCGTGCTCTGGCAAGTGTCATTTGAAAAACCATCCTGTTCCCACCTAAGCCTGCAAGCAATTCCATACGAAGTTCTGGTATAAAACCAGGTGAGAACCAGAGAAGTAAATTCTCATAAAGATTATGACTTTGTTCATTACATTTTGTGACAACACTTGTTTTGGTTCAAGCTTTTTCTGTTTTTTCTCTATCTACCAATAAAAATTCAAATGAAGCATTCATTGCTAAAAGAGGGAAGAGCAACATCAGACACTGTATCTAATACAAAGGCAGTCTAAAAGGCTTTGGCATGTAACCTTGGGAGAGTATTTGTACCATCCTAATGTTGTGCAAACTGCATTAGCTGTGGCAAGCAGTAAAAACAGAACAGGCACTTCTTCAATACTTAAAGAGTTTCCAAACATTTCCATAGGCAATACAGGTATGGAAGCATTTGACATACTCACACAGTTACTTGTGTGCTGTTACCAGCATACTAGCACCACTGATACCAAAAAGAAACTAACAGAATGAAGTCACCCAAAAATAAGTTACTCCATTGAAAAACTCTCACACTAATTAAACTAGAAAATTACTGCCAGAGGCTCTATATTAAAGACAGCAACTGATGTTGTCCATATACATTTAAATAGCAGTATTGTCACCAAGTATGTTAAATGAGGCATAGCAAAGTTGTCTGCTACACAAACAGGCAGGCGGTGTGAGGAAATGCAAGGTCTGAACAGAGCATTGGCTGACGGGAAGACACACAACATCAGCACAGACCATCTCTGGAAACTTCACCCTGACCTGAAACAACCCCTGTGCTTTGGGAACATTCTCCTGCTGCCTGCCTTTTAATTCTGGATGAAAGCATTCGAGCAAAGATGATGTGTAATGAGCCACAAAGAGCATTTTTATTGTAACAGCCTCCAAGGGTTTACATTAGCTGAGATAAAAACATAACGCTCACTCACAGTAATAGCAGGAAACACTCAGGTGTCAGCGCCGTACGTCAATAAAAGGCACTGCAACTCACATCAATCACTGATGCATCTGGCAACAATGCCAGCTGCTCACTGCTGATGGAGAAAGATTGACATGGCAGCTCCAGAACAGGTCCTGCCAGCTGAGACAGACAGCACAGCCAGCCATACTGTGTACAGGAGTTCACTTCAGCAGCTGAATGGATTATTACTGGCAAAAGAAATAATACAATCTAACTGCAATTAATAAAGGGCTGATGGACAAACAACAGGAACTTTTCTCAGCTATTCTCCTTGGTATTGCTGCTTATGGAAGTGATTGCCAAGAACGGCAAAACTTGCACTTAGCGCAATGCTCCAGTCTCACAACTTTAGAAAGAGACAGATCCTCAGCAACTATGTCAACACTGCTCTTGTGTTACAGATGGGAAAAAAACAAGACTGCAAAGGAAGCAACCAGCTATCATAGGATCCAGGAAACTCAGGCTTAGCTCAGATTTAATGTGATTGCCCCAAGCAGCTACTACTCAAAATCAAGACCTTTCTATTCTTATTCTGCAATATGAGTAATTCCACGGTCTAATGCAATAGCCCCACACCCAGAGCCCATGAACTCCCATCTGTTTTTATAACAGGATTTGAAAACAAAAGGTAAGATAGTATTCTATTTAATCAAACAAGAAAGACATACAGCAAAAGAGTATTTCCCCGTTGTGTCGCTTCAGAAGAGCAGAAATACAGCTGAGCCATTTCCCTACCTGGGCATACTCCTCTTCTGCACTGTACAGCCAAGCATGCTTGACTTTCTCCTTCTCTTTGGCCACTTCCATGATCTGCTCAAACGAAGCATTATCTTCGCTTGTGTGTTTTGCTAGGAAGCTGTCCAGATTGGGAAGTGCCTCCTTATCATCTTTTTCTGCTTCTCCTAATAAAATGAGAGAAGAAGCCTGAGAAAGGTTAATACCTCCTTTTCTACAACAGCACTATACATAATTCTTAATCATTCTGACAGCAAGCCTTCTACAAACTCACCAATAATTAACATGAAGCTTGGTGGAAAAAAATACACACATGCAAAGTGGTACAATAAAACATTCTTTTTTGGAAGACATATAATCAACTTTCCCATAAAACCTTTTCTAGCATTTATAGCTATTTGCATTAAAAGAAAAATGCACAAGTGGGCAGCTGCTAGTAGACCTTTTTAATATAGTATATGAATAGCTCTGCCCCTACAGTCTTTGCTTACTTACAGAATTAATTTCAGGTGATGCAGAAAAAACCCCTACTGCCTTCAAAGAGATCAACAGAGGTCAGAATTTACACAGTCCTAAAGAGACCCATAATTGAGAACTCACACACATGATATAAAACTTTACATCAAGTTCAACTTCAGAGTGATCATTTTCACCCATTAGAAGGTTAAAGGAAACTGCTTCAACACCTGCTAAATACCCACAATCCTTCCAGGAGACAGAGCTCAAAAAAGTATTTTCCTGCTGCTGAAGAATTCAGCTAAACATCATTCTCCTACCTTCCTCTGCAGCTTTGACACCAGCTTTGGATTTATTCCCCAGTGGAAGGCCACTTGGATGCACTTCTGGGGTTTCAAACGTGGCTGGAGTAACATCTGTGACAGAAAAAAGTTCACATGGTTACCAGAGCACAGAACGGGACATTTGCTGTGACATCCTCCACCACAGAAAGGGTCACATGCCAAACAAGTCACAAAAGACATATCAAAAGAACCACAATTTAATTAAAATTTGTGAAAAGACGTCAAATATTCAATTCTGTCTCAAACACTGAACAAGATTTTGCCCTCATCTAAGACATAATTTTTCTCCTGCTGGGAAAAACTCACAGGAGAGACACAGCCTAGTATATTTGCCACTTTATGCACAGCTTTGGCCCACAGAAGCAAGCAGCAGCATAACAATCTTAACTTAGACCAGGGCCAGCCCCAGCAGCAGGTGAGGAAGGGAAACCACTGGCTGACACATGCCCTTTGCCACAAGAAAGCATAAAGCCCACTGCAAAAGCTTGGCCACGGTCTGGGCTTTAGTGCAATAAACACTTGAACTTGAAGTGAAAGCAGACATACAGCAGGGCACTGGATGTCTGCTTTGTGAACCTCTGATACTCATGAGCTTCCAACACCTTCTGTCCCCCATAAACAAATATCTTACACATCTGTAGATGCAACAAGAACCCCGTAAACTATAATAAGGATTGAAAACATAGTTCAGAGTTTCTGATACAGTAATATTGCGCATTCAAGCATGCAACGTTCCCTAGGGAGCAGGAGCTTGGCAAAAGATGCCTGTGAGTAGCTGTTTTTTTCCGAAACCATTCCCTCAAGAAGGAAATACAAACACCATCAAACAGAAATTCAGCATCAGTCATCTGACAGTAGCTACTGCCCAATCTGGTAGGCTAATTCCCATGCAATGACAATCTTGAATCGTTAAGATAAGCACTGCCTTCACCAAGTTACATAAATGAGAGCACTAATATTAGACATAAACCCTCACGCCCCAGTGATCCAGTTCTTACAGGGTACAGGTGTGTCTCTCGATGATTTGCCCAAGGAGGAGCCAAACTTGATCGCGATTTGTCTCATTTTCTCCAAGTCGCCGTTTTCTTCCGCCTCCAGATACTCCTTCTGCGCTCGCAACTTCTCCACATCAGGGAAGAAGTCTCGCTGAATGATCTTCTCCAGGCTCTGCAAGCAGAGACACAGCTACGAGGCCGCGCTGGGACACCGCCGGGCAGTGCACGGGACGTGCCGGAGC